AACACAAAAGATGGTTTTTTAAATAAAATTTTAAGATATAACTAATTTTTTAAAAATTTATTGTTTTTGTTATACAATAGTGTGATCTGCATATTACACCTGATCTTAAATTTTAATTGGTTACAATACCCTAGCACCATAATGCTATAGCACTATAAATTAAATCTCTATTAAAAAACTTTAATGATATTATGATATATGATTATATATTATTTAGTAAATAATAAAGAAATTTGGTTTTTAAAAAAAATTCTAAATTTTAGAGGTCAGAAGTTAGATATGCAATATTTCAAGAGAATTGAAGTAAAAAAGAACTATAATATTGATTTTAATAGACATGATAAAAATGGTATCAAGCAAAAAATTTCAGCTATTAAACGGAGCAGTAAGTAAAATTATTTAATTAGTTTAATAAATAAAAGTTTTTATTTAAATTTTACAATATAAATTAATTTAATTTATAGCTAACAAACAATCAAAAACCAATACTTCAACAAAAAAACGCTCTGTACAAACTTCTAAAAAATCACAAAGAACAATTGAAAGTAATTTAGATACAAATGATCTTACTTCAAATACAAAAAGTAACAATAAATTATTCATGATGCCAATGAAAAAGTTAGAATATAAAGAATGTATGCTTTTAATTGAAGAAAGGAAGGAAAAATTAAGAGAATTGCAGATTGCTAACACAATTAAAGAGCATAAACATGGACTTGAACAAGAATAATATAACTTGAATAGTCTAACAATATTGCATTTGCATATCAATATTGTATTTGCATTAAATTAATATATACACAGTATTTGCGAACAAATTTAATAAATATATACATTTTAAATATATAATAAATATCTGCATATACATGTAATATACAATAATCTATCATAGTTCAATCCAACTCTTTCTGACGATCATCTGGTCAATAAAAAACAAGAAACTGAACTACAGTCAGCGCTATAGAAGACGCTTAAGTAAATAATAAACTTGGTCTTACAGAAGTAGGTGTGTTGTCGACGAAGTACCAAGAGTATAAAACTAAGGAGTGGTCTACTTTGGACTAGTTTTGGTAGAGGTCAAGCTCTTCTTCTGGCAGACTTCTCTGCCTATTCGGCATTCAAACCAGAAGGATATTTTGAAAACACGGAATGTCTAGGATGACACTAGGAGTATTACAAGCTTAAGATATATCTATACAACTGTAAAACTTACAAGGAACAACTACAGAAAAGTTTCATTGGCCCACCACTTTTTTCAAAGAAATTTTGTCAAAAAGTAGATGTTTTAGCTTACCCCCTAAAGATCAACACGTAATTTTCTAAAACAAGTCAGTATTGTTTACCTGTCTAAAAATGGATGGGACTTCTATAATGGGATATTGGGCAGATATCCAGATTAAGCAACCATGTATGGACTGTATGACAATACAAATGGTATATATGCCTCAACCGGAAAAACTATTTGACAATACTTCGAGACTTTAATATTTTGGGCTATTCTGTTTTATTTAGCTGTCTTTTTTTTTATGTTTTTTTTTTACTATACATATATTATTAGGATAGAGTTAGATATGTAGCTTCTTTACCTATTAATATGTAATTTTTAAGGTCTGACACAGGCCTATAACTGTGATCTATCAGATTTTCTTTTCTTTTTCTTCTCCCTTTCGTCTTTGTATTTGTTTTTTAGTTTTAGTTTTCATTTTTTTAGTATCTCCTCTTTAGTATTAGTATTAGTGTCAGTAAAAATTTTTTTTTTTCCACTTCACTACGAGAAGATATCATCAGATTGACGATATTCTATTGTAGAGTGGTGGTCTAATAGTGTTTGTTTGAGAAAGATAGTGTTTCTATTTTGAAACTTATCATTATATATTCATAGAGATGTATCTGCTCAGTGCAGCCGATCGCTTGTAAGTGTTCTCAAAGTAACTGCGGGATGCCACTTCTAAATATTATACTAAAGCCTTTTGTAATACTATACAATCGTAAAGTAATAAAGGAGACTAAAAGCAAGATGGCCTAAGTGGAAAAAAAATATATATATATATAATAATCAAATAATTTAGTAGCTTTGAACAAATAATAATATAACTTATCATTATTTATACAAATTAGTATATCTTACAAGAGAGTATATCTGACACATTTCCAATATATGCATATATATGTTATACGTTTTTTTAATTTTTGACATCCTACTCAACTACATTTGTACCTCATACTATACTACTTTAGGTAAGACTTTAAAAAACATACATATATATACAGTATATCTCGATAAAATGAAATAAGCTATATACATACATATTAATTTTTGCTGAATAACCAAAATAAACTATTATTTTTTGCCAAATAACTAAAATATAATATGTATATACTTTTAGGATAGCTTTTTAACATGCTAATCATAATTATATATGTATGTATATACGTACTAATAGATTTCTGCTATAGAATTTGACTAGAATTATGAAATTCTTACGTACGTACATACGTATGTACCTTTTCCAATAGTCCAGTAGTCGATAAAATTTGTGGCTATGCATAGCTTCTAAATTCTACATATGTAGTATATATCTGTTATATTTTACTATCTTTGGCAATTAATTTAAGAGTACGTAAAAAAAAATAATGTAATCTATTAATAAGTTTTTATACTTGTTTATTTTATGAGTTTCACACCTAATCTTATGAATTTATTATCTAATATAATCACTTTATTTACTATTAGCTGCTTCATGAATTACATATCCATTAAAAGTTAAAACTCGTAGTTTTTCAAACTTTTGTATAATTTCAAAAAAGTACTTAATTGACTTAATTTATAAATTTATATTTCTGGTTTTACATAATAGCATCGCACAGCTATGTATATTGAAAAGTTTAAGGTTCATCAGAAATATTACTAGATCAATATATAATAGCTTACTATTCCAATTTTAAGTAAAATACTCTAACCAGAATACTAAAACTACTTTAACTAAACCCTAATATTGGTAAGGTTACGATTGAGGTATGAAAAGACTTGGTCTGAGTAACCAGAGTTAATTAGATGGGTAGAGATAGTGTTGAACTCAGATAAGTGCTCTTTTATTTTCTTAATAAGTATTTTACTTATTTAACTCCTTGGCTAATACTAGAAATTCTTCTTTTCATAAGTACTGCGGTGGGTCTTGTGATCGAAATTAGCCAATTAGAAGGTGGTATAAAGTTAGCATATTACTAATATATTTTCTTTAAATATGACAATATGATATATGATTATCACAGAAACAAAAAAATATAATATCAACAAATGATTTTTAACAAAAGGATACAACAGGTTAGAAACAAATACTTCTACTCTGATTTTAAAGGTTTGATGTATATTAATTAAATTCTTCTTGTATAATAATACAGAATAAACTTTCAATAAATCAAAACAATTAATCTAATTATTCATCAGACCAATCAAAAAAATAAATAAGGGTTTAGACTAAATTTAGTGATTCTATTTAAAGCTCAATATATACTAATTGGCCTATATATATAGCTATTTAGAGTATTAGAGAAAATTTATAGCTAATAATAAGCAATTTATATTCATTTATATAATAATGACTTTAGTTAAATACTAGCAATGCCTTACGGGAGTTGGGTCCCATAGCTTAGCGGTTAAGCTCCCAACCTCCCACAGACTAGATCAACGGTTCGAGTCAGGCTGGAGGCAAATTTTAATAAAATTTGCTTCTGTAACCTATGGGAGCCATAAAATCGAATACGAAGCCCTGTGGAAGTCTAAGTGCAGTACAAAACCAGAATAAGGAGTTCCCGAAAGGAGACCAGGTTATAGAGTGTAAGCATTATGTGTGACAGCGGTGTCACAGAAGGTTAGATTACATGGAAGATTACGTGAATTAGTTCTCCGGTTGGGGTGACCTGGAGGCAGTACCAACATCACTGCATCCAACTTGTGGCATACTTGCTTGAAAAGGTGATATGAAGATAGCCAAAACTGGAGTAGTGAATGAAGTGGTGATATATGACTATGGGCTGTGATAAAGGATCATACCTTAACTGGAATTGGAAGCACCTTTGGCCCTACGGAACAACCTACTATAGAAGGTTACTCGATGTAGAAGGTATACCTATCCCTGTATGATTAAATGTATCAAATCGGAGCTCTAGTCACACCTATATGGAAGTCTATAACGAAAAGAGTTAAGGATTTACTAGTATGAATGCTGCACTAACCAGGGTTGAGATACTCCAAGTTGAAAATTGTACAATATGTGCAATGAAGGCCAATGGCTGGAAGTATATCAGTTATCATATACGAAACAAGTTCCTAACGAATACCATAAAAGAGAGTACAAAGGGGATAAAAAAGTATGCAAGCACATGAAAGACCAAAAAAGAGACGATAAAAGACCTGTAGATGGCAAACCGGTGGCGGCAGCAGGTCCTTGGCTTAAGATACGGGTTAGTAGTACCTGGGCAAATGAGTAGGAGGATTAGGCATTCATAAAAATGAAGAAATGCAAACCGGTGTAACTCAGTTGGTGCAAACCCAAAACAAGTCCTAATCTGTCAGGTAGTACCAACTTTGTCATGTAGTAAACCTAACTAGGCAGCAGGGACCTGGCTTGAGATACGTACATGAGAAGCTCTCGGCAGGCACACCAATCTGGAAGGCCTTTAGAGACCGATTACTCGAATAAACCAAATTAGGAGTTACTGAGGTTTGATTGTGGGTTATGGGGGAATATGGTTGTGTAACTAGAATTAGTTAGTTGTGAAGCACAAAAACCAGGTAATATGGAGATGGGATATGGAATACTCTGGTAGGTTTAGATCACAGATAAAGTAGTCTGAGCCTCGTATTCAAAAATTAGTTCGGTTAGTAGGTATATGAGTAAGCAACAAGGTTGTATAGTAGTGTACAAACTTAAGAATTAATAAAAGATACAAGAGGCATGACCTCACCTTAACACCAAAAAAAAAAAGCAATGCCTTACTATTGTTCCAATAAAGTATTGCTTCAAGCCAAACCTGAATTGGCACTATTAAATATCTTCACTTTGTTAATTAATCTACATTTTATATTCCAAATTATGTGGCTTGAATCACATTTTTATAATTGTGGCTAGGTCATATTACCCTGCTATAGTAAACACAAGTTTATAAGTAAAAGTTATATATATATATATATTGTATATATATTAAGAATAATAGTATGTAAGATTTTTTTAACAAATAGCAAAAGCCAAATTCAACTTTTGCTATACTGTAAGTATTGCAAAAATTATTATATATTAAATTTATAATGCTAATGTTAATACTTCTATAGTACAAAAATTATATAATAGTTAAATGAGTTTATTAAATAGAAAGTTTATAAATATTGTATATGAATAATAAGCTATAAAAAAAATAGTATTAAATCTTTTAATAAAAATAATAAAAATTATATCTTTCACAAAAACAATAATAAAAATGTATATATTGAAACAATAAAGATATTATTAATAGGGGATTGTTATTTTCACTATAGTTTTTTGTTATTTTCACTATGGGTTACACAAAAATATATAAAAATTCTATTTTTAATTACCAATTAAATTTAAGAAATTAATTTTTTAACATTTAAAGAAGTTTTTATTAAGTTAGGATCTGTTGAGCTTCTAAGTAAAGTTGTAGAGGAGATTTTTCTGGTTCTAATGGTAGTTAAATCATCAAAATTGGCTT